TTAAAAATCACTACATGGTTACAATCATGTTTCAACACCACAAATGTGCCTCCTCAGGCAATGTCAAACCACTGGTGAGCAAAAGATTAATTTAATTTCAAAAAAAAAAAAAAAAAAAAAAAAAAGGCTTGTGGGCTTTGCCAGGATTAACCAATCAAATATGACCTATTCTAAATTCAAATACACTCAAAATATATGTGCGTGTGTGTGTGCTTTATCTTCAGAAATTTAAATGCAATATCAATGATTATCTTTTGTCTTCTTAATTCCTGTTCTTTTATTATTCTTTCTCACACCTTGTGCCTTAGTGGCTTTATTGCCTTACTTGAAGTGAAAGTATAATGTTAGAATGGATTTTTATTAATCTGACAGATTTTCATCACTTTAGTGGATACTCATATTTGAGTAGGCACTTCATCCAGATATTAAACTGTATATTTATCTATCTTCACATGCTGGCCTGAAATTTTGAAATATTCAAACAGCATAAAAACTACATCTTAAACAGTTAAACATGAAAAGAAATTAATAACACCTAAAAACAAACCACCTTGAAAATGGATAAAGAAGAATGGACAATATGAACAATTTATGCACTCTCTTTCTTCCACCAAATGGAAAAAAAAAAAAAAAAATGTAAGAATGTAATAATGTTGGAAAAGCTAAATAAAAAAAAATTAATCAAATTTTCCTTTGTCATATTCAACAAAACACACACATTATATATATATATATATATATATATATATATATATATATATATACACACACACACACACATACATACATACATACATATATATAAGGTGCAACAGAAAAATTGCCCAATTGTTATATTATACTTTGAACTGCTGTATCTTAGAAATGATTAAAGATATCTTACTGGAATTCTCCAAGGTTTTTATAACACTATTGGACTCTACTTTGAACAATAAGAATGTATTTATCTCTAAGTGGAAATGATGATCCCTCTTGCTATTATGACCTTCTGAGCCAGTTTTCCTCTCTATTGCTACCCCTTTTTTAAACTTATTGACCATTCTCCTGATCATTTTTGAATGGACTTTTAAGATGGAAGCCAGAGTATGAATGTTTGTACCATTTTCCTCTCACCATTGCTCAGTTGGAAAGATATAGTGGAGCCGACACAAAATAATTTTAATCTGTTCCCTTTCTAGCTGAATAATTCAAAGGGTTTTTCAGTGATTTTTATGACAAATGGTGTCAATACATAGAGTAAAAATTAAATGAAATATTTGGATTATAAACAAAATTATCTAAACAGTCTATGAGTGGTACAAAACTTTAGTAATGCTATAAAAACATCCATTAAAATTGTATTTAAAAAGAGAAATAACAAACAGGGAAGAAGAACAAAGATAATAAAATAAATCAGATAAAAGATGTGAATGGAAAAAACAAGAAAATAGCAAAAATGAGGCCATCAATGTTGTGTACACAATCTACATAGCATCTCAATTGGCTCCAAAACTGAAGATCGAAAACCGGTTACCCACATTTTTGTTATTTTCTTGTTTATTGCTATTATTATTTTGATTCACCTATTTATGGTGACTTATTTTATTATCTTTGCTCTTTCCCTTGTTTGTTTTCCTTTTTCAATACAATTTTAATGTCTTTTTTATAAAATAAAAAAAAAAAAAAAAAAGAAAAAAAAAAGTGTTACTTTTCAAATTAAGGTGATAAATAAATATCACCTTAATTTGAAAAGTAATTTCTGTTGTAGTCAATACATTCTCTTAGAAGCCAAAATAAAAAAAAAAAAATGAAGTTTTGTCAAAGAATCACATTTAATGCAAAGCAACACATGTACATGCTGAAAATTTTGCAGTTTCCTTGGCACTTTTTAGGATGCAGGCAAGCAAGAAGGACTGACTCTCCCAACCCTTTAAATGCAATGGGGGAGGTGCAACCTGGAAGGAATGGACCTAGAACTGGAGTTTGATGAATGCATACCTTGGTTCTTATAAAGCCATAGAAATGGGACAAAAACATTGATAGTGCCATATAAAATTATGGATGAAATGTTCAAATTGGCAAACATCATAAAAACAAGCCAGCACTTTTTAAAAATGTTTGTTGTTGTTCATGTTATGAGACTAGGAGGGAGTAATAAAAAAAAAAAATGTTCGGAAAACCTGTCTTACTCATTGTAATAAGAGAACTAATCTCTCCCAAAATAAAAAGTTTATAGCACTGAGGCTTATAAATAGCAAAGTATGAGAAAGTTGGGTCTCCCACCACGTTTACTTTGAGATTTTTATGAAATTTTTTTTTTAATTCAACCATACCAGGCTCTAACTTTACAAAAATCAGATCTGACCAAGAATGATTTATAATTTTTTTTTTTTAAATCATTCCATCCCAAACAATGTGGAAATGCCACAAGTATGCAGGGGGTTACAGGGAGTGAAAGTGAGAAAAAAGAATTTAGAATAGGGAGTATATTGTTGCCATACCTGGGCTAGTGCTTCCCAATCTTTACTGTACAGAGTACAAAAGTACATGCGTGGCCTTGTGGGTGATGAATTACTCTCCACCCTGCAGCCCTTATCCCTCAGATGAACTTCAACCAATTTTTCACTAATATATTGTTATTAATACTCCGATAGATGTTTGGACAAGTTACATTGCTTAGTCCAACCAGCTTAGACCTTCAAAACTAGGACCTGCCATGCCATGTTCACCACAGTGAACCATCCCCATCCCCTTTTTGTTCCTTTTGAAGAAAATAAAAAGCAAGTTCAACACAGCTTCTTCCTCAGAACTATTACTTTGTGAAACAAACTTCAGAGAGAATGCTTTCTTGACAACTACAATCTTGATCTGTAAGTTCAGGGTAAACCAATATCTACCCTACTTGTCATAATTATGAAGATGAGTAGAATAGATATCAGGAGAAGTAAGCGAGTACTAATACTTGTTTACTTCCTCTCTTTCTAACAACAATCTCACTCAGTAACCCCTACCTTGAGTAGCTCTTAGGCTTTGTACTTGGTAAATTAAGTGTAAAAAAAAAAATTTTTAAATTCAAAAGAATAAAAATTTATCAATATTTCTATAGAACAACAAAATCTAATGGTCTAATTCATTGTAAAGTGCCCTTTTTTCTTTAACCCTTTATACTAGTATATATGATTTTCTGATTCCAAGCAATTGTACTGAAATTTGATTAAATCTTAAGTAACTCCACTAGTGACATAAATGTGGCTTAACATCCACACAAAAAAAGTTACTGAAAATATAATTTTATACTTGTATTCTATCAGTTTAGTTACATTGAAATGTCTTTTTTTATATATTAGACCCAAACATTTTTAATCAACCATTTAAACCACTTGAGTTCTGATCAAAATCTCAAGTTGCTTATAAGAGAAAAAATCATTTAATATTCATGCTAATATAAGAAGTTCAATATAATTTTTCCTTGTGTATATTATTTATATTCAAGTATAATACTTGTCTGTAATTATAGGATTATTTATATATGAATCAGAACTGATTAAGATCAGAGAGTCAATGACTGGTACTAGCTTAGGATCAGTGCAATATCTGCACTCTGAAAGTTATACACACAAAAATTATAGTTTCTGATTTTTGCTGCTTAAAGCTTATTGTTTTTGAAGTAGTTGCAACAAATTTTATATGAAAATTAGATAACTTCTTTTCACTTATAGTCATCAATCAAGTGGATGGGCCATATTATATGCTTATTTTTATGAAGGTCTTTTTTGGTATGTGTGTGATTTTTGTAAGCTTTCTTCTTTGCATTATATTTTAAATAATTCAGATATTGGAAGAGTTTAAAAGTTTTTCAGTGTATTGTCCTTAATCATGTAAAATTGAGGATACAAATTCTAAGCAGAAACCTATAATTATTCCAGATTTTTTTGTGGTGTGAGTAGATGTTTGAATTTATATATATATATATATATATATATATATATATAACATTAAACCTGAAGCACAAATTTACAAAACAATTTATGAAAAATCATATGAACATAAAAAGGATCTTTTACAAAATAATAACATACTCAATGCATTAGTCATTCATCATAATAAATCTGACCATAATTTCAGTATAATGCAGTGTTGCTTTAAAGTAATATATTAAGGTGAAAATGTATTAAAAATGCCCTAATTTCAGTATCCACTAGACTAAATTTATGTCCTGTATGTATAAAAGATCTTCCTAACAAAATTATGGCTAATATAATGTATGAAAATTAAAAACAATAATGATAAATATAATAACAATAAAAAAAATGACTGAAATAGGCTAAGTTAACATCTATATACATTGAACATTTAAATTTAAAGGCTAAGCATCTTTCACTTTAGGGTTTCAATATATACATTATAACCAGAAATTGTTGCATTTCTCAATTTTCCTCCTTTCTATATACGAGATAGATAATCATCATTAATCTGAAGAAGTTATTTCTCAGAATGAAACATCGCTAAGAACTTTTCCTCACCTTGGCATTCACTCACCTGTGGATATAAGAAAATAGTCTATATTTCAGTAATTTTTAACAGATTTGTTTCATTTTTAATATGGAAGTTGGTTTATACATAATGCTTTCTTTTCAAAATGAAAGCATTGATTTAAGAGAAAAATGTATTGCTCCCTTTGTATTTCCAAAAGCAACAAGATAAAAAATTCTTATATAAAGTTAGTTTTACATAGGAGTAGATAGGTTTGTCTATCACCCAGTTCACACTACTTTCCTGTTTATTGAACAGGGGTAAGAGTTTATGTCTAGTTTCCTGCTTCAAAGTGGGTTTCCAGTTCCTTCTAAAGTCTTCTAATTCTCTTCCACTCTCAGTAACCCCTTGTGTCTTAGTGACTTTACTTGAGGTGAAATGAAAAAAAAGATAAGAAAAACACAACTGGAGATAATATTAAAATCAAAATAATATGAATTAACACTTATTGTTACATTGTTATAGTCCCATTGATTGGCTGTGCTGAC